TCTATTTAAAAATAAAATAAAAAAAAATTTTTTAAAATGTAAAAATGGGCCCTTTTAATTGGGGACACCCCATATAACAAGCTATTTTTGTTGGGTTATTTATTTTTATCTATTAATATACACGTTAGTATATGAAGAGAAACAAATTTCTGGTAAAAAATCATAATATAAACTTATTTTAGACGATAAAATTTATGAATTAAATATTATCCAAATAAACCAATTTCCTTTAGGATCTGCTATAGTATCTGTAAGATTAACTGTAAATGGCACAAAAAAATACACGGAAGACAAACAACATAGTCATCAGTTCCTAGAATCTCTGTGTGAAGAACTCGCAAAATCTATTCCAATTGACATCGATCGTTTGAAATTAACTGACAGAGTTATTCTAGATCCAAAATCTTCTAACCAACTTTTAATAGAATTTCAAATTATAAAGTCTCAAGATGTTTTATCTCCTAGCGTGCAAAGTATTATTAAAGACGCTGATAGTTTAATTAAACATAAATTTTTCACTAATCTTGCTTTACAGAATTATACTGTATATTTAGATGAAACGTATGGTTTGATAGAATCTTGTATGTTTTATATTCTAATTATTATTATGCTAAATAATAAACTTTTACATTTTCTATCTAATATTGTAGTAATATATAATTTATTATTTTGATATAAATTAGCAAATATGTTGTTCGAAGTATATCCATTATTAAAAATAGGAGCAGCAGCGACTGTAGTGCTTGGTTTGGTATCTGTTTGGGCTTGGTATAAAAGTAAAAAGAAAAATAAAAAGGTAATCATTGAATATTATCAATTATCAATTTAACTTATTAGAAAATGATATTTATTCTACTTATTATCAAGGCGAAAAATTTTATATTATTTAAAACTGTATTAATTCTTGTGGACATACCTCTTGATATATTGTTTATTGTTAAAAATGGAAATGATGTAGAAGAGTTATTCATCCCAAGGTTTGCTATTTTTTTCTGAGTTGATTTACAGTATTTTAACCGGCTTCCTTCTAATATTATAATCCTTATAAATATAGCTTAGGTTTCTTTATACTATCATTAATATTTAATATGTTAGCCGCATTAACAATTATAATATATGAGATTCGACACAATAAAAGCTTTAAGGATTGGATTACAAACACTGGTCAGTTCGCTTCAATATTTACGCTTTTATCAAGTGTAAATGTTGAACTATTGTTAATGTTTGATTCATATTTTGCTGGACTTGAATTCTTCAATGCTAAGTTCTCTAGCAATTCATTGGATTGGATTAATTATGGAGGGTTTATAAATTTATTTATTGAAGACTTACCACAGTTAATTATTCAGGTAAATTCGATTTTCAATTAGATATTATTTAATTATTTAAATATCATTTAATGCTAGAATAACTGTCTACTTGAAATATTAATTTAGGTCATTTATTATAAAAGGACTATTAATTATAGTGTTATTCCTCTTCTTACGCTTTGTTCAAGTTCATTTACATTTACAAATAATGCTTTATCAAGAATTTATGATCTTATGATTCATAAAACCGATATTTATCCTGTTATTACAAGAATTGGTACTAAATTAAGTTTGAGTTTTGAAAAAGATGATAAGTTGGTATATCTGAGCTTATTCACATGTAATGAAGATGAAGCAGACAACAAAAAGACTGTTTTACCGAATAAAAAAAAAACAGATTTTATTTTGGACATGTTCAAGTCTTACCGGATTGATTATAAGAAAGATAAATATATGGTAATTGGGCCTGCAATTGAGCATGAAAACGGCACAAATCATCATTATATATGCTTTAAATGTGTAAATAAAATGGGATTAATGAAGAATATTGTGTGTAAGTTCAAAGATCAACAGCTCAAAAATCAGCAACTTGAAAATCAGGAGCTTGAAAATCAGCAATTCGAAAATGTTGAAAAAACTGAATTTAAGGATAATGAATGTTTTGAAATGGATAATATTGGAGAGTATAATATTATTAATGGTGAAGACATAATCTGTAAAATCATTAATGTTCATTGGGATGAAGTCAATTGTGGAACTTTTGTAGTAGTAAATGTGTGGAGGAAAAAATAGTTTTTTAAAAATTTTTTTTTAAATCAAGAGTGAGGTGCCACCGTCGCACCAACATGTCAAGGTAATTTTCATTTCAGATAATATTAGAGCATCAAAAATTAAAGTTTTTGTTATTCTGGCAGTAATGATTATTTAAACATTTTGATTTATTAATGTTAGCTATGTTTTAAATAATTTCGATTGATATCGTATCTCTTAAACATTTTCAATTTTAGACAAACTTTCCCTGAATTTACTATAGAAATGTTTCTAATTTATTTTTTAAAAATTTATATACTTTTAAATAAATATTTTTTAATAATATTTATAAAGAAAATTTCTATTTGTACGCTAGTGTATTTACTCATAATTATACAAATTAATAGTAAAACCAGTAAAAACATAGAATTGTATACATAGTAAAACCAGTAAAAACATAGAATTGTATACAAAAAATATAGAATTGTATACATTTTGTAGATTATATGCAGATTTCTTTATGTAACAAAAATAAAGTAAAATATTAAAATTTGATTATGTCTTAAAATCTTGTTTATGAAAACACCTTTGGGCTTTAAAAAAAATTTTCTTTTCAAATATGATTAGAATCTTTGCTTAACTCTAACTTTAAAATTTTATCATTACTCTAATAATAAAGAAATTTAATACCCAAAATTAAGTCTTCATATGAAATAAAGTCTTATATCGCCTGTTAGGTTATTTGCTAATTTACTTTAACTATCATTGCGACAGTAGATTACACATTTATTACATTATCTTATGTATGTCGATACTATGTATAATGAATTTAGAATAAATGTTCTTGTAACAGCCTGTGACATGTAACACCCTCGTATTAGCCAATAGTAGTTGGAGTTAGGGTTTGGGTTACACGGATTTTTGGTTGTTTTATTGGTTGTACTAATTGGGCTGTTACAAATACGCGAGTTACAGGATGTAACAAATACATTCATCCATGAATTTATTACAGCTGTTTTCAAAAAGGTGTGAAGTTTTGAAAATCTAGGTAATTTCGTGAATTTCTCATGATATAGTTATTTGCGTCTGTTCACACCTTTTTGAAAACAGTTATAAAGTACGTTGATAGTACCACCCAACCAACCAGCTATTAGACCTCTTGCAGTTGATTCTTCGGTTAACATCATCCCTCCCCTCAGTTGAAGTCTCCCCCCGAAAAATGAACAACCAATCAAAACGCTGAATAACTCTCGCCGATCACCTGATTTACATCGACCAATGAAATTGGCCCATATCTGTTCATTTTTATATGTTCGTTTC